CAATGAGGGTCGCATTTCGATTGAGGATATTAACCAAGCAGCTGAGAACGTACTCACGTTGGTGGAACGACTCAAGGGAGGTGATATGTCACCTGAGGCGCCTGAACGGGAAGATGACCACGAGGAGACGAGGGAACTTATCCGAACTGCGGGCCACGAAGGTCTCACACTTCTCAAGAACGACGGTGGCATCCTCCCTCTGTGTCCTAAATCTACCAAGGTCGCTGTAATTGGACCGAACGCCAATCGACATATTGCAGGCGGTGGTGGAAGTGCAAGTTTGAACCCGTACTACAATACCATTCCGCTTGACAGCATCCGAAAGGTATCCAAGCAGAAAGTCTCGTTCGCCCAAGGTTGTCATATCCACAAGTGGCTCCCCGTCGCATCTGAGTACTGCACCGAACAGTCAGGCAAACCAGGCGTTCACATCGACTGGTATGCGGGTGATAAGTTCGAGGGCAACCCAGTGGTGAAGCAGCGCCGAACAAACACAGATCTCTTCCTATGGGACTCTGCGCCCCTGAGTGAAGTCGGTCCCGAATGGTCTGCCGTGGCAACGACGTTCCTCATGCCGAGGACAACAGGTAAACACACCATCAGCTTCATGAGTGTTGGTCCCGGAAAGCTCTTCATCAATGACAAGCTGGTTCTCGATCTGTGGGATTGGACCGAAGAAGGCGAGGCGATGTTCGATGGGTCGATTGACTACCTTGTTGATGTCGACATGGAAGCCGACAAAGCTGTTGAGCTACGTGTGGAGATGACGAATGAACTTCGTCCCATTTCGAAACAGAAGCAGTTCGGCATCACGCACAAATACGGCGGCTGTCGTATCGGATATAAGGAACAAGATCAGGTGGATTATATCCAGCAAGCGGTCCAGACGGCTCGCGACGCAGATGTCGCTGTTGTTATTGTTGGAGTCGATGCGGAGTGGGAGTCGGAGGGTTATGATCGGCAAACAATGGATCTTCCCGCCGATGGAAATCAGGACAGGCTTATCGAAGCTGTTGTCAAAGCTAACCCCAAGACCGTTGTCGTCAACCAATCCGGCAGCCCGGTGCATATGCCATGGGTCGATCGAGTGCCTGTAATTCTTCAAGGCTGGTACCAAGGACAAGAAGCTGGCAATGCTCTGGCGGATGTCCTCTTCGGTATTGAGAACCCAAGTGGCAAGCTCCCAGTAAGTGATCTTCGCCCGTCGTGTATTCCACGCTGACACCAAGCAGAGTACGTTCCCCAAGCGAATCGAGCACACCCCAGCATGGCACACCTGGCCCGGCGAGAACCACAAAGTACTGTACGGCGAAGGTCTCTACATTGGCTACCGACACTACGACCACGCCAAGATCGAGCCTCTCTTCCCCTTCGGCCATGGCCTCTCCTACACAACCTTCGAATACGGACGTCCCGAGATCTCAACAAAGACCCTCACTCCCGATGGCGAAATCAAGATCACCCTCGCCGTCTCCAACATTGGAACTCGCGCCGGTGCAGAAATCGTGCAGCTCTACGTCCACGATGAAAAGAGTCGCCTGCCACGACCTGAAAAGGAACTTGTGGCGTTTGAGAAGGTGTTTCTTGAAGCGGAAGAGACGAGGCATATTACCATCAAGTTGGATAAGTACGCTGTTGGGTACTATGACGAGACTGTTCCCGGTTGGATTGCAGAGGACGGCGCTTTCAAAGTGCTGATCGGCGCATCGAGTACGGATATCAGGTAAGTTCCCTCTGCCTGGGTGAGGATGACCGCTAATCGTGTAGACAATCGACGAGGTTCAATGTGAAGGAGTCATTTACTTGGGTGTTTTGAAGCAAACTCAGGAGAAGATAGTTCGTAAGGAATTCGACGATGGAAGAAAATCAAGATAGTATCAGCAGTTCTTCCAGTCTAGGCGCATCGAGATACCGTGTGCAGAATGTTAAGTCATCATCGCGTACTTATGAAGCTTCTTTCGTCCAAGTGTGAAACGTCCCTGAGCTCACATCAGATAACTGTCCGTGAGTATCCTACCAAGTCACAACGACCATTTAAACAGTTGTATTTGCATGTCACGTCAAGCATGAGTTCATGAAGTGCTGGCTTTCGTCAAAGACGCCATTGAATCCCTTGACAAGTCCAAGGCCAAGGGTCGTGTCCCAGTGTTATTCTCATTCTGTTCTTGCATACATGTTAGGACAAGACTTCGTCCGCAGATGATAAAATGGACATACCTCATGTATCAATATTACACTGCCAACGTGCTCTGGCCACGCACGTCGGCGATTGCGCATGTCAAGTCTCTGCGTTTTCACATCCACTATTGTCCATCCCAAGATTTTCGACGTCGCCTCGCTCAATCGCGCTCCTCACGGTCCTTGCCCTCAGGGCTACGACTCCTGCTTCGTCCTCTGTTCCGTCCACCCGTGCCCCGTCCACGCCCAGGTTTGCCAGGCGGAGGACGCACGAACGCAAAGTCCACCGAGATCGTCTGGTCGAGCAGCTTCTGGTTATGCGCACCATCAATAGCAGCGCGAGCCTCCTCCAGCGTCGTGTACTCAATCAGCGCGTATCCCTAGAGTCCCCCCACTGTATCAGCAATCCATCCCCATGCCCAATGTGTTTTACGCGCTTACCTTGACGTAACCGCTTCTTCGGTCGAGGTTCAGGTGCATATTCTTGATCTCGCCATACTCTCCGAAAAGATCTTGTAGGGCCTCCTCGTCTGCTTCTTCGTGGACGTTTGTTACGACGATGATCCAGCCTTCGATGGAGCGGACGGCTGTGGCTTTGGTGTGTGTTTGCATGTCGGATTCGTTTCGCGCGGGGGGAGGGGGAGAGCCCGCCTCAACGTCAACGTCCATTTCCACGTCGGCCATTTTGTCGGGAGGTGTTCTGAGGGAGAGAAATTCGATGTATGGCGAGGAGAGTGCTGTTGTTTGTTTAAGTAACGGGAGCTACCTGCCAGAGTGCAGAGTTCAAGGTGGAATTGCTATCACGTGATGCGAGTAAAGAGACCGAAAGTGTTCATGTTCGAATCATCAATTAATCTATTGGAGGTCATGGTCTCGAACTTATCAGTAGCTTTGGACGTAAGAAGTGCTAAATTTGAGATGTTCTACGTTAATCATGATTTATGGCATTCTGTATCCTCAGGCACCAACAAGTCGAGGATGTCATCCATCAGCATGAGTCACTCGCCGAGAACTCCAAAGGATTTGCAGCGTTTACGATGTCCGCCTGTTTAGCCCAGTCGCCCATTCACTAGGAGATGCCCACATTCACAGTAGCAGCAGAAATGCCTTGCGCGAACAAATGTTTGTTGTATTGTGACAACTGACACCGGACGCCGAGTAGAGTCGTATGGCTTCTTCGCCATTTCCTTTTTTATTCTTTTCGTAAGGGGGCTCAGCCTATCTTGCGACCCTGACCCAATCCATCACATCATCCCATTACTGAGTGAAGCCAACCATTGCTGTGTTGAACCGTGTCCGAAAGCCAACATTCCCGATACCGCAAATTCCTGTCGTTTGGACGAGTCGTTTATGAGCCGGGGTTGGGGTTCATCTGCATCCGAATCGTCAGCGCCTGTACCTGTGTGATGTGAATCTCCTGCTTCGAGTCTGCTCACCTTTCTCTTGCCACCAGTGAGGGTAACGTTGACAAAGCGACGGGTGTACTTGAGGCGCTTGAGGGCACGACCCTTGGGGGTCTTGGTCTTCTCCTGCTTCTCAACCTGTAGGAATCGCGATGGTTAGTGATCGAGTTTCGTCGGGTTTTCGATGTCGGGGAGCCGTCGTCGTACCTTAGGAGTCTGAGACTTGACCTTGCCTGCGAGAATGTTAGCGACAACGAAAAAGACAAACATCGTGAGGGCGGGCGCAACGTACCGGCACGGGCAAGAGATCCGTGAACTTTACCCATGATGAATGATGTGCTTGGTGGTGATGTGGATGGTAGAGTCGAACGGCTGGCTGAAAGCGCGGTAAGATTTTTGGGTCAATTTGGCAAGTGTGTGGGCGGAAGGAGCGGTTCCTCACGTGAGCTGGGATAAGATGCCCTCGGAATAATTGGGTCCGAGTGGCGGATCAGAATGCTTATGTAATGCGCTTTGAGAGAATCGTCCGCCGGAGAGCGACAGAGGTGCAATAGCCATACAAGAGCCTGAAATTTTACTGTTTGGTTCTGCTGACTTTCATTTGATCTCAGCGATTATCCTGTGCTGAATTTTCGGAGATTCAGTGTTTCTGTTGCGCTTTGGAGGACCGTGTGTGACGTCATTTAGTAATGAAGTTGGCGGGCGGTTTGAGTTCGAACAGCTCTTAACGATCTGGTGAAAAATGCCGATTTCATTGTATTGCCAGACTCCCTCTCACAATATTGAATACTTTTGTTTCATATAATATCACAGCAGTTATGGATTGGTGTAAAGGTTACATCGTGTTATTCGGGCACGCAGGTACAGGATGTTGTGTGGCTCGGCATCGTGTTAGTGGCCATACTGCTGGTCAATGAACATTTTGGGCGTAATAAGGGCTTACATCTGCTTCTTGGCCGCAGTATTGAAGTTCGAGCCGTCTTGAACAACTATCGAGCAATCATGTCTCTGGTGTAAGTCTGCAATCATGAGATATGAGACACCTGTTTCCATCAACCAGTTACCAACTCTGATTTGAGTGGATTATCACATCGAGTTCATTTGTATCACCCATACATTATCTCAAGCTACATACTCCTCTGACTTCCAAACGACATGCAACCAAAGCAAAGAAAGGCTTGGCACCAGGCATGAACCTCTGAAGGACTCCAATGCCCGTGGAAATGGTGCAACAATTGAACATTATCGTCTCTCGACCTCGATGTAGGGTAAACCTCACGTCAAAACCGCTCCACCAGATTAACCCCACTACCTTGCCCTCCATCACCAAAGCAAATGCGGGCATCTATTAAAATCTCAATCAAGGGTATCATTGACTTACATATCTAATTTGGGCGCTTCAACCATGGCCCATCCATAATGTCTTGCATCGCGTTGGCCGTTGACAAAAAGCACAAGAGTGGATGTTTTGCTATATTTACACAGAGCCCCAGGTTCTTGCAGGGTCCCAGCGGCGGGCATGGGGATGCGAGAATACGAGAGGGACATGAGGCCACGGCCACTGAGACCTGAACCTAACGGAAATATTTCCAGAAAGGAACTGAGACCTTGTCAATGTTTTAGATTGATCGTATTTTCCTAAGACTTTTCGGGGAGCTGATCGTGCTGTCTGAGAAGGGCAATTGACTCAATCCATTCTGAATGTCGGGTGGTTGGAATTGAACTAAACAATCCTGTGTCGTAGAGAGTTCAGCGTGAGCGGAAGAGTTAGAGCACGTTCTCTGAGACTGGTATCCAACGTTGCCTCAATCGTATCAGGCCAAGCTCGTCGTTGGGCTATATCCGTTCCAGCGTCTAACCTTCCAGCCCCAGATGCACGGCCCCAACCGCCCCGATCAATTACACAGAAACTCTAGGCGACCGAGAAACAAGAGACTGGGTGGTAGATCACATCATCGCGCAGCTAAAGTCTGTTGGTTAGCCTCTTAGCCTCTACGATACTTTCAGCTATCTCTGATAGCGGGGTGGTTGGATCATGTCATGAACCTTCTAATTGCTTCTTATCATCATCCATTTAATGGGCAGAAGGCTGGGATAGTTACACCATTTGGCTCAAAGAATCAGGGGAACAATTAGAGAAGAGCAGGCCTGCCACGTTGTGCTACACTCGGTATTGAGTTTTATCGTTATCACCCAGCCTCCATCGCGCATAAGCGGTTCAAGTTTACCGGCCAGCCCCTCCTCCCAGCTCGCTCTACCCGTACGCTTTCTTCCGAGAGGCAAAGCAGAAAAAGACCTAAACGAGCTTCCATGCAGAACGGCTAAACCCCAGAACGTCAATTGCCTCTGTCGATGAGTTCGTATCCTTCCATACTGAGACATAGTTTCTATTCGTGTAATTGCCTTATGGTTCCATTGAGCGTGTGCTGCTATTTTTGGTGATCCCTGTCAAGTCTAAAAAAGGATTCGCTCGCTCTGTAAGGCCACATCGTGGATCACCCTCCCGCAGGTGCCGAACCAATGGCCCCGCGATTCGAGCCATGACACTTCAGCCACGCACGTCTTTAGTGCCCACCTTGTGAGTTCGTATTCTAAATCCACTGCTTGATTCTTACGAGCATCTTGCAGCTGAGGGTTTGAGTCTAGCTGAGAAGACAAAGAGTGAGGGGAAGAATTGGGAAGCATCACTGGTGATACCGAGGGACATTCAGACAGAATAGCCAGTGACAATTGAGAATTATCATGTATGCAGACATTGTTGGGTTGTCTTGCCGTGATTTACCCCAGTCAGGCTCTCGATGGACCTTGGATGATACTCCAGAAATCGATGCCGCCATCCCGCAATGACAATCGCATCACGCACACAAACAGGCCTGATCCATTGTCGCTAGGTTGAGATATCATGATCCTTGGCCCAGACCGTCCCGCTACTCAGCTGGTTTGGGACTGGCCATCTGCAGCTAGTCAAAACTAAGTGTAAGCCCAGAAAAAGAACTGCCAACCTGCAGCTGGGATATCGGTAGCTTCTTGCTTGCTTGATTCTAAGCTTGTTTGGTTGATTGCCTGACACTGCTTGGCCGGGCCACTCCAGATACAAACCTCAACACGGACGGAGAGCGGAATTGTCTGGAATTTTCCATTTCCACTGACTCTTCTTCCAACTCTTAATCTCCCTTGCCCGTCTTCACATCTATCCCTGTTTCTCCCCTTCTAATTTATCTCTTACATATCCATGTAAATGGGTTGCATGTTGTTGAGCCCAACCAACGTTGCATCCTCCCGTACCTGACCTCACCGATAACGCTTCCGCTCTTGTGTCACCATATTACAGAGCAATTCCCTCTCACCCAGCCCGCCCTCTTTTATTTCCCGCCTGTACAACAGTGACAAGAAAAAAGTCGGGGGTGATTTCTAGCTCGTCTCATCTCGTCTTGAGTCAATCCCACCACATCACGAGATACCCGCATCTTTTGCCCACCGCCTTTGCAACGACCTACTCACGACCGCATCCGTCGTGATTTCTCACTCAAATTCTCCCGCATTCGTTGGGATTTCTCAATTTGCTCAGAAGGAAAAGAAGGAGAATAAGACGAATTGGAATGACAAGATTCCAAGCAGTTTACCAATAAAACACCAACCGAGACATCATCACCCGCTTTTGACCTTAGCTCCCGATAACATCTTGCTCCGAACGCAGCAATTTCTGGGCGCATTCGGTCAGATTCACACAAACGCAAATACACGCGAGAAAGAAGCAGAGATACTGTCCTCAGATTTATTATTATTGCGCTTACCTGCAGCTATCGTCCTCACCCCACCTTGTCCAACCCAGCTCACGCGTAATTTCTCCCGACATTTCTTGTCTCACAGAACCTCGCAGCGCTCCCCCGCCAATTTCAGGTCAATGGTTCTCTTGAGCGTGTAGAAAGACCCAAATCAAAAGCAGAAAGGCTTTCGTCATGCTCCTCGCTGCTCAACCGCCTCAAGGGCGCTCTCGCTCAAATAGCTTGCAGCAAATGCTCGATCTGGAGAAGAAGCTCAATGTAAGCACAGAAACAGGCGGGATTCTGGACGGTTTGGCTGACGTACTCGCACAGTTTCAGCGAACACACCAAGGCTCTGTGCCTCCATCTCCGGCATGCACTGATAGCAGTGGCTCAGTACCACCCAGCCCAGGCCACCCTCGTCGTTTTGAGCTGGTGCCCAAGGATAAGAAAGGCCCTACACCTGTTCGAAACTACTCCGCTGTTCCTCCCCCTCTCTTCTCAGCTCCTGAGCGCTCAGAGTCGCCAAACATGATCGCCCGAAAGCCCGTTGGAAGGAATCTTTCTCAAGCATCCTTATCGGAGCAGCTCAAAGACGACAAGCCCGCTCACAAGACCGTGGCGTTCATGTTTCCCCCTGATGTAGAGGAGCAGCGTTCTGTGTGTCAATCACCCACTTGGGAAGCATACGAGCGCCAGAAGAAGGAGAAGAAAGAAGAGAAGCGACAGGAGCTCCAGCGAAAAGAAGAGGAGAAACGAAAGGCCAAGGAGAAGGAACAAGAATTGGCCATGAACCAAGCCCTCGAAGAAGCTTGGAAGAATGCTCCCAAGCCTCGCGGTCGAAAGCTGAGCAAACCTAAACCGCCTCCTCCATCACTTGGAACCCAAGGACGCAGCACAACTGAACCGCCTCAAACCACCCAAAAGCGACGCTCTCGCTCGTCGAGCTTATTGGGATTCTCGATTGGTAGAAACAACGACGATCCTGAAGAGCCCAGACGCAGCCGCTCCAGCTCACTTACCTCCATCTTCCGCAAGTCATTCGAGATCAAGCGTGCTTCTTTCGATGAGACCAGCCCTACCGGTTTCTTGGGCGGTAAGAAGCTTGAGAAGAAGAAAGACGATTTCCACCAGAAAGTCCTCGAAGACCAAGCCAAGGGCGACAGCAGAGTTCATCCCGCCATGCGAAAGTCGTTCCTCGGCCATGGGTCGTTCACGCCTCTCAAGGTCAATCCCCAGCAGAAAGAGGAAGACGCCAAACGAAGAGCATACCCTCCTATCTCCATCAACACATCCGGCGCGAGAGGTCAATCGAAACCGGCCAAGTCGCCTAGTCGAAGGGGCTCAGTCAATATCTATCTCTGGAGCGCTCGAGCTCGACGTGGTTCTGTCAGTGATGATTGCGCAGTCGCTGACACGGACGATGAGGGCGATCAGAACACCGCGCATACACCCGACAGCGAGATTTTATACAACAAAGCCCAAGGTCTGAACAGACGAGGCGGTCTTTACATCAAGAAGGAAGAGGGCTCGATCAAAGATGGCGAACAAAGCGTTACACCTCGCTCCTCAAACCAGAGTATGAAGCAAGCCGCCAAGCCCAAAGACACTGAGAAGCCTCCCCAGCAAGATACCATCACCGTCTCCCGCCCCCCAATAACAAACCCAACACAGCCCCAAGCCCGACGCTCATCAACAGCATCAGGCCTCTCCATCCCTCCACCACCACCCCGAAGAAGCTCAAAGCGAGGATCTCTCACGCTCCTCACACGACTCAACAACTCCCAACCAGCTTCCGATGAAGCCAAGAGCGCTCCAGTAGAGTCCTCAAAGTCCAAGGAGAAACTGTTCAGAAACAACCCCCCGAGCATCCGTTATGAACAGACTTCGCCGGGCGTGCGACCGAAGCCTATCACTGCTGATTCAGAACCCGCCGTGCCCACGAAATGGAAGCTTAAGGATGCTGCCAAGAGTGCGTTCAGCAGAGGTCATTCAGCGCAGAACTCGGTGTCGTCGACGATGAGTGCTTCTTCCAAGACGAGCACTGCATCTTCTGTTGGACCGCCTGTGCCGCCAAAGACGGATTTGCCAGTGTCGAAGGGATTAGCTGGTGCTAATGATGCCCCCATTCGCACTCAGCACGTTCACGCTCCGGTGAAGCATCTCGTGCCAGGAACTACACGCTCACCTATCGGTCGTCGCCCTACGACAAGCTCATCAGAGTCCTCATACTCGGATGGTCTCCAAACTGTATCCCCCATGAGCACACCACACACATCCCCTCCCCAATCCGAAATGGGCCACTCCCCCAGCATCGCAACCATCAAGCCCTCAATGCACGCAACAGCCGGCCCCGTCAGTCCCTACTGGTCCTACACAAACTCCCCTCAAATGGCACCCATCGATCGTTTCGACACCAACCCCTCCGACCCGGAAATCGATCCCATCCAAGAAGCTGCCAACAGAGTAATGGAAGCCTTCTCAAACGCCAACCTCCGCAACTCAACACCCCGCCGAACACCCGTCTCCTCCGACGAGACAAGCTTCGCCTCAACACCAACATATCCCCCTCTCAAGCACAAGGCCCGAAGCAAGGGACAACTGCGCTCCGCTAAGAGCGGCCATAGATCGACCGTCTCTGATCCGGAAGCAACAATCAAGACGCTCCGACGGCAATCCAACTTGGAGCTTCAGCACCACGGCGAACCAAGCGCCAAGATGTTCGTCGAGTGCTGCGCTTGCATGCGCTACCACGATATGCCAAGCAGGCTCTACGAAGCCATGTCCAACCCGGATGGTGTACTGAGCGCTGGCTCAACAGATTTCGCGGGGAGCGTGACCATGACGGTCAAGTGCCCCTGGTGCAAGCATGAGATGAGCACAAAGTGCTGCGCTGGATTCGCAGCCATGGTGTACATCAAGGAGCGATTTCACTAAGTTTTATGTTCTCGACGAACGTTGCTTTTCTTGTGTTTGTCTATAGACAAAGCTTGCACGACGCAATTTTGCTTTCTCTTATTCTACAGAATTGGCGTAGATGGAAAAAAGACACGGTTAGTCTGAATAGTGTACAGGTTGCTTGGCTATAACAAGAACCATGGGAATTATTGTATTTAGTTTTTGACGAAAGTTGTAACGAGTCATGACATGATGAATCAAATAAACTGAACTATTATTCAACAAACTCACACGGTCTTGTATAGGCCCCTTGTTTGACGTCACATCCACTTTTCCCCTCTAGTCTTTGAAGGCTCTTCTTGGCAACGAATCTATCGTTGAACTAAAGTTTGTTGAAAAGCGAACACCTTCCCGTCCAAGAATAGGCCGTAAATCACGATATCGAATGGCGGAGAAACGTGGTGGTGTCTGTTCTCAACGCCAAGACTGCAGTGCGATGACGGGCATGAGGGTGAGACAATCTTCTAGAAACGACAAAAAGCAAAATCAGGAATAAAACATGTGAAATAGAATTGAATAACCTGTTACTGAATTACTGAGTTTCTTGCAATTGGATGTCGGGAATATCCTGCTTTGCGGGTTTGCGCGGCTCTGACGTCAGGATAAGCAGGGATCCGACGATGCCAGGTTTTGGAAGATGCAGATTCAAGAAATACCAATATCTACGTCAATTCAAGAGGGGAAATCCTCATATCACTTATTCTCGTCGTCTTCATCTTTGTCAACTGTAAATCTTATCTCAATCAACTCACCTTATCTCTCACCAAATCTACAACCTCTCACTAAACCACCACCACCACCAAAATGGGCGAACCAAAGAAAGGCACAATCAAGTTCCGCAACAAAGAGGGCACCCTCGACGCCTCCGCCCTTCTCTGGCGCGCCCTAACCTCCGAGAAGCCAGAGGTCATGCGCAAATACATCACCAAGGACGCCGTCCTCTGCGAACCAGACCAAAAGGTGTACTCGCCCCGCACCGAGCCCTCTCTGGATGAGTACATGGAGGATGGCTACGAGCCCTGGACGGCATACAAGATCCACGACGAGCCTGAGTTTGTCGAGATCGACCTCATGGCCTCAGCGCTCAACTACCGCGTCACTGCGTGGAAGCTTCAGAATGGGGAGATGATGGCGACGGAGGCTTGGTGTCATAGCGTCTTTCGACAGGGACCTGGAGGGGATTGGAAGTGCTGTCTTCATCATATGGCCAAGGTCTAGATAAGACCTAGAGTGTTTAAGGTGTTGGGGATTGGCGAATTGGGTTTTTGGAGACTGTTTCTAAGCTATGTTAATTAACGACGTTAACGTTATCGCAACCTACATTACAGTACTATCTCAACCGTGCATCACCTAGTCGAATGAAGTTCACGCCAAGCTTCAGCCTAACAGCGATAACTAATAAACAGAGTTTCTAATTGTCAAGATTAGCTCACTCACCCTTGTCCGATAGGTAATAGTAACAGCAACCGGGACCGCCTCCCAGATGCATTAAACTCGACGGTTGGGGAGAAGTTGAGTTGAGCGCCAAGGGATCATTCAGGCGGGGGAGGGGCCCTTTATCTCCCCCTCGCGCATCCAAGAGATGTTCTCTTTTCTGAATGTGGTCGCGTGCGTTTTATTCTGTATCTCTTTTGAAGGCCATTGGCGAGTTGAGTCAAGATGGTGGCTGTCGATCAGGCTGGACGAGAAATCCTGCACGTTGACACTTTCTCGAGCAAGGATTAACACGAAAATATCTGAACGTTCGGTCTCTCGTTTGGGGTCTGATTGCTTTCCCTTGGCGGCCTGGGCGTTTTCGCCTCCAGCGATGGCCATCGACTCAAGCAAAGCATGGTGTGCCATAGAAAAGAGGTCTTGTCACTCTTGGCTTTCTTGTCATAATGAGCGTTTATTGAGGCCCTGGTTGCAGGCCTGCATGTCCCTTCCATCCGGTCGATGATTCTGTGATCCGAGGTCATCATCGATCGCTTAGCAGGATTCTGACTCCATGCTTGATTGTGTCTTCGGACATTTAGTTGCGGGCTGTAAGACTGTGACGTCGTGCCATCGCCAAAGTTCAACACAGTCTCGCCTCTTCGCAATGAACAGATATCGCAATCGAGACTCGAGTATCTGCTCACTTTGTTCGGCGTAGACCGGACAGTCGGCTTCGTCTTTGCTTTTTGCCTGTGTTATAACCGACCACTTGGTCCGCGGATGGCTGTCGTATTACGACCTGTCTCAAGCCAAGGGTCTTGTCAAATGCTTCTTCGCTCTAGGATAGACTTGGCGAGAAGCACGCCGCGGAGAGTTTGAGTAATGAAATGATCAATGTCAAGCAGCAGTCCCAACCTCTCTCGTCCTCCCCCAGACCAAACTCTCTCTCCTGATGCAATGCAACGCCGTCCGCTCCGGGATCGTTCAGCGGAGGGCACGTGTCCTCCTCTGTCAACCTCTTCGCTACGAGTGGCTCCGCCCAAGCCCACTCCCCACTCCGCCGCCCCACGACAACCCTGCCTCACCCAAACACCGCTCGCCTTGGCAATGAGACGCTTGTGGGGCCGCTGACCGTTCCGCTCCATTACTGAGCAGGACAGGGGCGTGTCCGTTTTTCTGCTGCCGTTTGTTCTCGTGTTCCCTTTCCTTTTTGCTCCTCCTGCAGCATGCACGTTTTGATCCTCTTGCAGCAGAATATTGTCACAGAGGAATCGTGGATGGTTGCGAGCACTTCTTGTATCGTGGCTACACGTGTCGAGAAGCTTTTTGGTGATCAACTTGGCGCCTTGTATTGACTTGGCTTCAGACATCCATCTCAGTTTCGAGATGGTGGGTGGACCTTCGTACCCTGTAGCTGTTTCTTGAAATTTACCTCGTACTCTGTAACTCACCACGATACGCGTAACGAATAAAGATAGTATACGGGAGATAGTATAGATCCGCCTACTTGTAGCAGATAGATCTAAATCTCAACCTGCAGCACCACCGAGATAAAGTACCGAAAAGGCCCGACCAGTATCTTGATTGTATCCGCTCAGTTTTCGTCACAAAACACTATCTGTAACCCCACAAGGATCGTCCATGGGGAATTAAAAAGAAAAAAAGAGGCTCGAGAGCGTCGCACATCTTGAGGCCTTCAATTCTAGAGGCCTAGACCGCATCCATCGCGTGAATGCTTGGCTGCGTCGACATGGCTGAAGCTCTCATCACTTGAATGGTTCACCCCAGAGTTCTCGCAAGCCATCGTGGAAGCCTGGGGAAATCTGGCGCTTATGCCAGGGCTCTTGACAAGCCAAGACACAGTTCCTTCGAATTATGGTACGATGGTATATCACCCGGTGGATTTGAGAGCTTTTCGGCCAAGTTCCATATCGCCAAGTTCTTGGTAGACCCAAGTCCCTGCGGCTGATAACGATGAATCTTATTGTTTCACAGAGGCGGTCGTCGAAGATACGTTTGTGAATGGCTCGCGAGAGAGAGGCTCGGCTTACTGCTTCTGAGGATGAGCCGCAATGGTGCTCCGATATTTGTTGAGATGATCGCCGAAGCCCGAGCGTACCCATCTGCCGAGTATCAAAGCATTCGCAAACTCCCCGGCCGATGTTCATGTCCGTGCCTGAGACCCTGCCAATTCCTGCTCAAAGACCTCCGGCGCCGGGTCCCCAGGTTTTTGGTGACTTTGGCCGCCGTTCCCGCGACAAACAAGACCGAGCATCACGATGTTTATGCCGAAGTCCGTTCATGGCTGCCCAAGATGATCCCATTAATAGATCAAGGGCTTGCAACAGTGCAATCTGTTGTTCTCCGGCAATAACGGCAACTATACAAGCCACTCAATGGTTGGTGAGCAGGTTAAAAGGCTGCACGTCCTGGGACCTGCAGCAGAATTACTTTTTGCTCCCGAACGGAGATAGACAAGTCCGGGTATATTGTTCCCCGTGAGGAAAGTCAATGGTGCTGCGATTCCTCAGCAAAGCAACCCCCCACGCATTGTCTCACGTCTGCAGCGAAGTGTTGCGAGACCGACACATCCGGGTTAAATCCCCCCCTCTTCTTAGGAGAAAAGAAACACAACATCTCCGCCCCGCCACAGAGAGACTCCCATCTGGAGACCGGGGCGCCTCCGTGGGGAGGTTGACGCCCCGCTGTGTCCGCCCCGAGACAACATCCGGAGGCAACGGATCCAATGGTAGGAGGAGAGTGAGTGAACCCCGTTTATTTTTCTTCCCGTGGGAGCCTCGCAGTGGCCTGTAAGAGACGCGCATGGGTTGTGTTAGGCGTAAGCGCCCCGTTTCTGTGAGGACAAAGTGTCGTCTAGAGTGGACCAAGAGAATCCTAATTCCCCGTCTTGCTGCGGCATACGGCGCTTCTCTCGTTCCCGCCTTGGTAGTTCACCATAGTCAGGCGTCAGCGTCTCCGCGTCCGGCGTCTCTTTTGAGCTGCGAGAGGCAGTGATCGACGGCTATGTTCTTTACCGTCTGTCTTACGGCTTTCCTTGGATGGGTCCATTAGTAAGTAAACGGAGACAAGGGAGGCTAGCGTATGTATGCGCGTGAGTCGTACTCCGTAGAGAATTGGCATTGTATCTGCTCGAGAAGTTGTATGTAATCGCAATGCAACGCGCAGGCTCTAGGACATCTCATTCGCCGCTCAACACGCTGTTGGAATGAGGCTAAAAGGAATAGCGCAGAGATTTCTGAAGGAGATTGTGCACCAGGCCTAGTGGATCCAGGTTCAATAACATGCCGATGATTTAAGCTTATTGTCACGTTGGAGGAGAATCCTGGCTGATCCGGTGGAGGACTCATTACGTACCATGTACTCGCATGCCGGGATGGCTTCTAGAAGCAGTGGAAGCCGGTCACGTGGCGGATACTGGTATGACAGCTCAGAGATAAGCTCGGTGGCAAAAGCCACCGAAATGGTGTCGTTGTCGTTAGTGCACTAGCACCACGCGTGTTGAGCCCCTGTTTATCTGGAAACGCTAAACACCAAGGTACTTGGGCTAGCTAAGGCGTCCTCCAGACTTTGGGCAAAGATAAGAGACCGTGACTAACACCATCAAGTCCTCTGCCAAGGGTGGCAGTGCCTGCACCTCATCCTTGGCGAAGATTTGCGAGGGAGTTTTCTCAAAAGGGATAAGCTAAGCAAAGTTGCGTAACGCGTTGAGCAGCCCGTCTGCTCAGCCAAACATATCTCAAGATCTGATCTTGAACCCCAAGATCTCCATGGTTCCAGGTCACGAGACTGACCAGTAACACAACGGGCAGCTTCAGCAGGTGGATTTACAGCTCCGTGCCGTGCAGTCTCGGACCTCCGTGATGTAAATCCGGGCCGTAACAGCTCGAGCTGAAAGAACAACAATCGGTTCATACCCGGCCCCGTTTCTTCTGTTGCAGGTGAGATATGAGATTTTGCCTCTCAAGTGAACTTGATTGATGCCTACAGACTTACAGCTACGACATCACCCAACGTGCAGATAAAAAAACAGGCCATAAGAACAAAGCAATAAAACGGAGTCCAGGTTGACGGCGATGGTCGCCCACGACCCAATGACGTGACGACTTGGCGGGCAGAAATTATGTATGCCCAGAAAATGCCAATACTGATCCTTCCTCGTCGAGAAGAAAATACCACCGAAGCAGACCACATTACAGAGTTGAATCAATGGTGTGTGTCATGGGCGAGGGAAAAAAAAAGAGGGGGAGGGGGTAGCTTTAGGTAGGACACTCGTCTAACGTCGGTTCTAGGGGCCATATGCACTGAAAACGCAGTGAACTGAACTCGGTTGCAGCGAGTATCCACCATCGGTGACGGCACTGGGAAGGGTCCCTGAAAGCCTCACGAGAGCCTCACCAGGTGAACAACGAACGAGCAAGGCTTCAAACAAGGCTCTGACATTGCGAACCCCAGCGCAGCACAGCACTGACGATATATCCTGTGATTACCGCCATTTGGGTCCCCTCTTCCAAGGCAATTCGAATTCGGGTTTACTCTGAACCTAGTATCTTAGTCAAGGTGCAGTTGGTATGGCTCTTTTTTTTAACCCTTGTCTCCCAAGAATACCAAGCCTCTGGTCGCCCACTCAGGAAGGCCAATTGATGCCGAGCCCGCCACGCCGCGTCACAGGATGCTTGGTAGCCATCTCCAAATGACGTGCCGACGGCGAGCAAGCCCTCTTTGAACCTACCGTACAGAACGGCGCCGTGTGCTGCGTCTCACCAATCCGAACCCCAGACCTG